TTATCACAAGTTTAGCTTTTAAAAAAAGCTTAGAGAGTCAGCCAGTGGATTTTTCTTCTCTGTGATAATGTTTTAAAGAATCATAGAGAACTGAAAAATGCCTTCAACAAATTTTTAATCAGTAGCAGAGTTGGGCACTAAAATTAAAACCTCGTCTTAATATTTTTCTGCATAGGAACAGAAGCGTTTGTGCATGCAAATTCTTGCATTTTTCGTCTCAAAATCAAAAGAACGGAAAGTATGTATAAACATTTAAATCCCAATTCACGTAACATTAATCAAAGAAGTTATAAACCTACACTCTCATTATCAGATCTATAAGATTTTAGGGGGAGGGGGATATATGAACATTATGCCATTTTTAACAAAACGGAGCCCAATAAGCTTCACTATCATCCTTGTTAGAGTTTATCATGCCGCCGGTTGAATCACTCTTGGCTATGTGTTTAGAAAAGGGAAACACCCTTGTCCCTGCGATACTTAAACAGCCATACTGAACCTTCGTTTGAGAATACAAATAAAGGATTATTGAAATACCTAGTACATTTTCTTGTACATTTTAGAATAAAAAAAATAAACATTTATTGTTCATTCAAACAGGTAACATGTAAGCTTTGACGGTATAGCCTAGAAGCTTTTTTTTTAGTTTATTAACTATCGACTCGTCATTTGACTTACTAGTAACTAGCTGAATTTTGGATTAAATTGTTTCATAAAAAGTAGAATTGAAATAAAGCAAACATTACTAAGACCTACAAATTCATTTATCAGACCTCTTATAATATAATAAACCTATTAATTCATAAATATGATTGCCACAACCTAGATTATCAGGTCGTAGTTTATGAAAAGCAAGCCAATTTACGGATAAAAAAAAGCATGCGCAGATCGGGGGTGGGGGGGTGGGGGTCCAGGGCGGAGCCATAGGGAGTTATGGTTTATGACATTTACTGGAAATGAAAGTTTTACACAGAGTCACACAGAAGTATGAATTTATGACACTGACGTTTGAACCTCAAAATACACAGGGGTGTTCCTTACGCCATATATATGGCCATAGGGAGTTGTGGTATAAAAATTTCATTGCAAAAGCTCAATGGCTTACAGAGATATCGAGCGAAAACAAGTGTTTAAACAGACAGAATTTCTGAACTGAATACCTTGACCTTTGACCTCAAAATCAAGAGGGTCTTCTAAAGGCCATATAAGGTGTAAACAGTTGTGTAAAATTTCACTGCAATAGCTCGCTGCCGGGAAGTGAAAGTGTTACAGACAGACAGAACTACAGATGGACGGACAGACAGACTGAAATTGATATTCTCTAATTTCAGCGGGGGGCAACAAACGAGCAAGCTTAGCCAGTTGTGTTTTCTTTCCGAAGTATCTGTTGTATGACTTAACAAGTCTGTCCACTATTTATCATCGGGATCGAAATGATTTGTAGTGAAAACGAAAGTAAAAGCAGTAAAAACTGAAAAGCTAAAAAGTATGTAATAAACCATTGTTTGTGCTGTAAATTTAAATACATAAGTAAAAATACTTTCAATATATTTTATAAAAGAGCTTCCATTTACGCGTCAAACACTAAATTCATCCAACAGTAGGAACTGTATGCTTCGCTGCGTAGAACACATGATTATGTGCGAACCAGTTAAATTACTGCGAACCAGTTAACTGTTTGAAACCTTCTATACAAAAATAAGCATCGGGAAATTCCTTTTTGAGTTAAATTTACAGATTACTTTGGTGTTTAATAGGGATTTGTTGGTTTACAATCTATATTGATTTTACTGAAATAAAATTAGCAGGCGTGATTTACTGCAGAACCACTCCCAGAATTCCAAGTCACGCAAGCGCATTGGAAGTTCTTCGTACCATAACTAGTCAGCCCGCGGGCTGACTAAAAACTGTTCAGGGCAGTGTTAAGCAGTATATATAGGTGATGGGCATTTGTATTTTACACAGGAGGTAAGAGGTATACCCTAGTACAATATTTGTAAATAACAATTTAATGTTTTTGGAACATGTCGATGATCGGCGCGTCACATATGCATACTTGACATACATCATTTCAGATCAGTTGCGCGGTCAAGCTGAGTACAGTTGTCTGGGAGTTAAACGATGTGTGTGAACATGCACATTAACTGATTTTTCTCATATTTTTAGCAATTGCATTACATGTATTTGTTGAATGTTCAATTATTGTCAGTAAAACATGATTTTTACCTATATAATTCTGCTGAATTAACTTAATTACCAATGTAAACAGTGTGATTTCAGGTGGGAGCAAATTAATCATTTTTTAAATTAATTAATTTCAAGTAATGGGCATAAAAGGAATATGGTAAAAATTGAACGTGTTGAATGTCTGTGTGTCTGCAAATGTGATATTGTACCATTTATTGTATTGATTTTTTTTTTTTTTTAGGTTTATGGTGATTGGTACAGGAAAAACATGAGGTCCATGCAGATGGTGTTTAAAACTATTGGCCAGCAAATGCACACCCATTTGAATACATCTTGAAAAAGAACCAGCAAAATGTGACAGTCGGCAAAATATGTAAGTTTAAGTTTTCTAAAAAAAAATTTCATTAAAGTGGGGAATGGGGTGGGGGTGAGGAAATTTACATATTAAATAGGTGATCAGAATGTGAAAGTATTTAGTTATAACTAATCTGTACATGCACTGCTATATACATTTTGCAGCTCATATAGATTTTCTTTTCTTATTTAAGATTTTCAAATTAATTAGATCTACATCTTTGTTTTGTAAATTATGCATTATTAAGATTACACGGATATAAGAATTGAAATTTCATGAATATTCGACAGTCAAAATTATGCGATTTGTCAGGAAATTCAAACTTTTGTCTCATTTTCCTACAAATTACAAAATGGTTACCATGGAAACAAAACAACTTTAGTGAACTATTTATTTAATCTGCAACACCACATATTTTTATTTTTTAAAGTAAATAATAGTATATAAGCACTGATTTTGTCTTAAATAAAAAGTACGGGAAAAGTAATGATACACAAGTATTGAGCTATCCATTATTATGATGTCATTGTGACGTCATAGATGAGTAAATTTGCATTGGTATAAAAATTGCTTTGAAACAAATGATTCTATATAGGATTATAAAGGCTTATAACTTTTTCATTAATAGTCCAAATTTCATGAATGATACATCAATGGACAGGAAATAATAAGTACTTTTTTATTTTACTACTTTCGGGGTATTTGTGAACTTCATTTTTTTGTCATTTCTGGAGAAACTATGAATTAGAGGGTGAAAAGTGGTCATATTTTGTGCGGAAATACATTAATTTTTTAAAATAAGTGAAATTGACCCAATTAAGTGCTTGATTATGATTTGACTATATGTATTTAAAGATATGAAGGTGATTAAGAATGGTATAAATGTGTTAATAGGCTAAAATTTGACTCAAAACTTGGGTGCAGTTTTGGCTAGATTGGAGCATTTTTTAAGGATATTACACATAGAACTGTAAATGCTGTAAAATCTTAATTAATTGTTGAATTTTCATGAAACTTGGTATGATGTCTCTACTTATGCTCTAGATTGACAAACAGTGTGAAATATTGTAAAATCAAAAAAATGCTTTTTCATATTGGGTACATCCCACTAATTATTTTTAGAATCGGTAGGAGAAGAAAGTAGTGCAGAAAAAATTACAAGTTCCTTAAATTGCAGACTTGCCTAAAAAAAATTGGGCAGGTGTACTGAACTGAGCCTCACACTTGTTGATAAGGAGTATCTTTCCTACCAAAAAAGCTTTGAAAATGTAATTTATCAAGAAGATCAGCCGAATTATTTTGTGTTTTATAACGCCAGTGAGAAATCTGAAATTCTCCTACTTTTACTTTCATTTTCAGATGTATCAACAGACAGAGTCATTTTGCGGAAAACGAATCTGACATGCCACCTCGAGATTTTAACCAAGGAAAGACAAGTTGATGTGCTTTGATTTGAGGGGTCACTCACTACCGAACGAAAATTAGGGACATCGCTATGAGAAGAAACGTTAACATTGTCGCCTATGGGAAAACAATTAGTGGACTGTACCCATCTGCGATGAGTAGTTGCTGAGAAAAATGCCACGAAAATCTGTTATGTATGAAACAGACAGACACACAGACAAACAGGAAGTTGACATCGATATGACCAAAGATGTATCCCACCATATGGCATGCCTCAGAGAAAATCTCAAGCATCTGTGATGAGTAGTTGCTGAGAAAACTGCGACAAAAATCTGTTATGTATGAAATGAACAGACGCACAGACAAACAGGAAGTAGACATAGGATTTTACTAGATTTTACTAGAAATGTATCCCACCATATGGCATGCCTCAGAGAAGGTTGTATTAAAATTTCAAGTATCTGCAATGAGTAGTTGCTGAGAAAACTGTGACGAAAAATTGTTACAGACAGACACACGGACAGCTAGACAGACACAATGGTATAACAGTATACCCCCCTCTCCTTCAGAACAGGGCTATAATTACTTCCATCATTTACAATCAAATTAGGTCCAAAAATATATACCCATCCAGACATCGATTTTATGTTTGTATAATTTGTCCTTAAATAATTTCAAATTGTATTAAGGTAGTTCTACACTTGGCGCTAAATGGGCTCAATCTTAAAAATCTGCTTTTATAAGTTAGATATACATCCCAGCAATGGAAAGACACAAGAAAAATTATATGTCAACATGTTTACTTTTCCGCTAATGACTATCGGAGTACATACCCCAAAAAGTAAAATGCTGAAATTTACCTATCCTACATTTTGTTGTATTTTAATGTGTTGATAACATAACACGTTTATAGACAGGATAAGAGATTTACTTGCTTACAAACAGGTATGTCCTCTAACTTAAATTATGCAAATAAAAGACTTAATTCATAAACAGCAGAAATATAAAGAAACGCTTCTATTAAAAATGATAATTTTATATCAATAATACCCACAACGTTCACTGATCTTGAACTTAATCCTTTTGTCAGACACGGTACAGTGTGTGATGATGTCCAGCTGTAGTTTGTCTAAAAAGAGGTCGTACATCTTCTTTGGTCTCTCCGGTATATACAAACATCTCTCTCCCTCACTCCTCTCATAATCCCAGGACCGGCAGTATTCTGAGATCACGTCACGTGACGCTGTGGTCAGGAAAAACTCCAGGTCACTGTCCTCCAACAGACACTCCGTAACAAAGGCGTACATGACGTCATGTCGGATGTCGTCTGATATAAACGTTATCACACCGTCACGTGTTTCTGTGATTCCATCAGGAAGATCTACTGAACTGTCATTAGAAAGATCAGGGAAATATCTGTCTCTGATGTTGTATCTTGTATCCCTGCATGATTGTTCATTCAGATTCAGCTGATATTTCTCAGAAAACAATAAGCAATATAATAGATACCGAATTTCCGGCGAATAGTTATGACATTCACCTGAAAAGAGAATAAAGTTAAAAAAAGAATAAAAATGACATCAATAAATTTGGATTAGAGATTTCATTGTACAATGTATGTTGGTTTACGGCCCCCTTCGAGAATTTTTTACTCATATGGAGATTTAGCTGCAGAACTGTAGCTCTCTGCTTGAGAAAATTCATACAGATAAACCAAAGAGCTTTATCTGTCCGAATTTTCTCAAGCAGAGAGCTACAGTTCTGCAGCTAATGCAGACATCACCACTTGCCGGTGGAGATCTGCAAATTTTTATATCAATAATACCCTCATGTGTGTCTGTGATTTCTTTAGGGAGGTCTACATAACACTCCCCCGTAATATAAGTGAAATATCTGTCTCTCATTTTGTCCCTTATGATTCTGTGGGATTCTTTATTCAGCTGATATTTCTCAACTAACAGTATGCTGTACAATAGTGCTTGTGTAATCCCAGTGCAGTCCTAGTACATACGGAATTATCGTAATATATATCTTTTTTAGTGTTTAAGAAATTAAACAAAAAAGTAGGTCTAACAATTTATATGAAACTAAATCACAAGAGGCCCATGGACCACATAGTTCAACTGAATAGCTATAACCATGCTGTTTTTTTTGCCCGAATTTCCACTTGCAATACCTTTTGTGGCCCATTCCCAACCCCCCCCCCCCCCCCCCCCAAATTGTCATAAATTAGACAATATCAGATCTGCAGTACCCCACAATGCTTTCACATTAGTTTCAGTTTTTCTAGCCCAGTAGTTCCCAAGATGAAGTTTTTTAAAGATTTTCACTACAATGTAAAGCTTAGGTTCCCTATTGTGGCCCTTCCCTACCTCCAGTGGTCATGATTTGAACAATTTAGAATCTACAATATGCCAGATTGCTTTAACATAAGTTTCAGTTTTTCTGGCAAACTGGTTCTTGAGAAGAAGAGTTTTACCTATGTATTTCTCTGTAAAACTTTGATTCCATATTGTGGCCCTGCCCAACCCAGGTGGTCATTATTTGAACAGTTTAGAATCTATAATACCCCGGGATGTTTCCCAGTAAGTTTCAGCTTTTCATGCCCAGTGGTTCTTGAGGAGAAGATTTTCATAGTTTTTTCCTACATATTTCTGTGTAAAGTTTTGATTCCATAGTGTGGCCCCGCCCAACCCCCGGGGGTCATGATTTGAACAATTTAGAATATACACTACCCTAGGATGCTTCCACACAAGTTTCAGCCTTTCTTGCCAAAAGGTACTTGAAAAAAAGATTTTAAAAGTTTTTCCCTATATATAACTACCGGGTATGTAAAATTAAGATTCCCTATTGCGGCCAGCAGCCCAACCCACGGGGATCATGATATGAACAGTTTAGAATCTATACTACCCTAGTGTTGCAACCATGGAAAAAACAACCACTATTGTAAAAATTATATCAAAAGTGGTTGAGAGTGCATTTCAATAGCAAACATAGTTAGTAACCACTATTTAAATATGACCACTATTGAAATGCCGGTAATTACATCAATGCTGGATGAAAGTACATTTCAATATGATAACCATACGTTTCAACCACTATTGAAATACAAGCACTATTGAAATAATTTTTTCTAAAAATATTTTTTTATTACCCCAGTACATGTATATGTGTGTGTCCTTATAGCCAAGGTTGCGGAGCCATGGAATCTATAAGTTAATTTAACAAAGTAGTTTTTACATATACATTAATGTAACATGAGGTTATTTTTACATACACATTTCATACTCCATTCACTCAGCTGCGTGCATATGCATATATCATTGTATAAGAATAATTCAGATAAACAAAAGTATAGGATTCATTGTTTTGTAACAAATAATGTTGTAGGGGAAATATACTTAGGTATCTGAGTCATTACCTATGGAGAGCCATGCCCATCTTCTATTAAAATTGTCTAGTTCACAATTTTTTGTATAAGTGAATTTTTCACATTTTTAATAATACAATATTTCAGATTTAATTCCCATTAGGGATGGTAGTTCTTTTTTACTCCTTTTTCTATAAATATGCCTTTTTGCTATACATATTAACACATTAAAAATGTTGAAATATTTGTAATATTTACCAAGTAAAACATCAGTTTTGTTCAATGTGATATCTAAATGAAATTCTTCTTTTATCCATATTAATATATTACCCCATATTTCACTACCATAAATCCATTCCCAAAATAAATGGCCTAAGGTTCTACATTACAATCACAAAATGTACAAAGTTCTGAGTCTGTAATTCCAATTTTACATAGAAATGACTGTTGGTTGCAAGAATTCTATGTACAATTCTATAGTGAAACCACCTCATCTGGACATCTTCGGTTATTTATAAAAACAGAATATTTTGCTTTTTCCACCATATATCATTTACATTCAAGTTGAGTTCATTTTCCCATTTCAATTCCCATTTGGTTTTTTCCATTTCTGGTCAATAAAGATATGATAAAAATCTCTTGAACCTTGCTCATGTTTCTTAATTTTTTGTAAAAATTCTGGATAGTATGGCATATTTTGAACAATGTATTCTTTGTTATAACCTAAATGTAACTTTTTTATGCATTCTTTTATTTCTAAAAATTGTGTAAAAGGAGGTTTTAAACCATATTGTTGACAAAAATGTTCATAATTCATCATTGTACCATCACTATTAAAAAAATCTAATAAATGATGCACACCATTGACAAACCATTGTTTGTAATAGACATGTTTGTTATTACTACATATAGCTCCATTAAACCTCACAGGGCTACATGTAAGAATCAAGTTTTGACAGTCAATATATTTCCTTAGCTCAAAAAATGCCAAAAAAAAAAACATCTCTCCAAAACAGGTTTTTACATACTTTTGACAAGTTATTTAGTATTTGTCTTCCAAAAAGCACAATATTTGCTACATTTAGCAGAGTACTTACAAGCAAATCTTTCCAACTTGACAGACAAGTATCATTTAAAAGTCTACGAATCCATGCAATTTTTAGGCTTTTACAGAATGAATCAAGACATATCATTCTTAAACCTCCCTTTTCATAACTTTGAATAATATCCTTTTTGGCTACTTTTGGAGTTTTATAAAAATTGTTTCGATTTCCTTTATCTTTACCCTGGGAGGATTTGGAAGACTAATAAATAGATGCGTGATCTTTGGAAGAATCAAAGTTTTAATTACAGTAATACGTCCTGCTGTAGATAACATTCTTCTAGACCATGACCTAATTAGTGATTGCATTTCATTAATTTTTGGATTAAAATTCAACTCATACATATGTTTACTATCCAAATTCACACAGTATGTAATACCTAAAACTGTGAATGGGTCTTGGGACCATTGAAGATTTTCAATATCTTTAAGAATTTCATTTGTTTCATTTGATAAGGATCCTATTTTCACACATTTAGTTTTTTCATAGTTTGGCTTTAACCCTGAGTATTTTGCATACTCATCTACTAGTGACAATGCTGACTTTAGTGAATCCTTGGTACCTTTTAATAATAATACAGTGTCACCTGCATATTGCAATAGTTAATATTCTTTATCATTTACAACTATTCCTTTGATTGATACACTGTTTCTTATCATTATGCCTATTATCTCTGCACAAAGAAGAAAAAGGTATGGAGAAATAGGGCCACCCTGTCTGCATCCCCTACCAATGTTAAAGAATTCTGAGAAAAAGCCATTTTGAATAATACATAATTTTGCCTCTTTAAATAAGGTTCTTATAGCATTCTGATATTTTTCACCAAAGTTAAAGAAGGTTAAAACATTGAACATAAATTTCCAAGAGACTGAGTCAAATGCCTTTTCGAAATCAAGCAACAGTATCATTCCTGGTGTATTATTTTCATTACAATATTGAATGATGTCATAAAGTAATCTAGACTTTTCTCCTATATCTTCCTGCTAAAAATCCTTTTTGATTTTCATGGATAATTTCAATTAAAATGGGTTTCATTCGATTAGCTAATACACTGGATAAGAGCTTATATGATGTATTAAGAAGTGAAATTGGCTTCCAGCTTTTGAGGTATTCTCGTGGTTTATGTCCTTTAGGAAAATTGAAATAATTCCTTGAGTTTGAGATTTTGAAAGCTTACCTGAGGCAAGACTACATTAAAAAGAGTTAAATACATAGGACCCAATATCTGACCAAAAATTTTTTAAAAATTCTGCAGTGAATCCATCTGTTCCTGGTGATTTGTCATTTTTGAATGATTTTAATGCATCAAATATTTCCTGCTTAATTATTTCTAATTCCAGTTGGTTTTTCATGCTTTCTGAGACTTTTTAAACATCCTTATCATGTATTAATTCATCAAGATTAACATCATCAAGAAGATGATCTTTGTTTCCGTATAATGTCTTGTAAAAAGTTTTTATCTCTTCCAGATTTTATCTTGTTTATTAACCTCTATACCTTGTTCATTTACAAGTTTAAAAATGTTTTTATTAATATAGTTTCTTTTTTCAAGCACAGCAAAATATTTAGTAGGTTTTTCTCCTTCTTCAATCCATTTACAATGACTTCTTATAAGTAGTCCTTTTAATTCATATTTCCTTATTTCTTCCAATTCTGTCTTAAGTTCATTTAATATATCTGAATATAACTGTGTTGGACAAATGTCATACATTTCTTGTAATATTTTTATTTGCGTGTTGAGGTCTTTTTTCTTATTTTTTCTTTCCCTTACTTTATAAGATGAATAAAAGATAGTTAGACTTCTTATTTTCATTAACAGTACATCCAAAAATAAATCCTTGGGAATATGTAATTCCGCATCAGGTCCTGGAGTATAAGGGGGCATTGTGTATTCTGCTACTGTATCATATTAAGTTGTTTGATTTTTTAAAATATATTCTTTGTCCCTTAATAAAGAATTATTAAATTTCCAAAAACCTCTACCTCATTGAAAATCATTAATTCTAAATTCAATACTTATTATTGAATGGTCGGTTCTATACCCTGGAATGATCTTAACATTTTCCAAAATTGACAATAATTCTTCAGATATAAGAAAAAAGTCTAGTCTTGCTTGTTTGATAGGGTTTCTATGGCTCCAGGTGAATTTTTTTACTATTGGGTTTTTTACTCTCCAAGGGTCCACAAGATTAAATTTATCTTTTAGGTTTTGTATTTCTACCCTATTTTTAGGATTATTTTCCTTAACATAATTATGACAGACTAACTGGAAATTTTGAACTAATTTCCAGTCTCCACACATAATAATAAATTTATTACCATATTCCTCTACTATATCAGTCAGGGGCATGATGCAATCAAGTTATTTTCTAAAATAACTTGTTTAGGTTACTTCACTTACTTATTACTAGACAAAAAAGTAACTCGTTCG